GATCGCGCTTTAATTTTGTAGTAAACGACATTGAAGACATTCTACTATTTAAAATAAATGAGCGTTCGCAAAAAAGTAAAGCAGCGCTTTGGCTAACGATGAGGGTGGTCGCTTTCAATTTGAGAGTGATTGAACCATCTTTGTTTGTATTTAAAAAGGAACTAAGAGAGATAAGATGGAACAATCGAGTTAATTTTAGAAAACAGTTTGGAAATAGTTTGAATATTTGTTAAATTCTAGTTGTGCTACTAATGGAAAGCTAAAAGAACATTTTTTTTCCTCTATTTGAGAGATTTTTAGCCATAGGCTAGTTCATCTCTTGAAGTGCTAAAAGAACAATGAACAAAATGTTAGGTTAAGATAGGTTAAGTTAGGCTACGTTTCCCTTCCCTGTGTGTGGGTGTTTGTAAATATGGATGTATGGATGTATGGGTGATAAATAATGAGTGGATATGAGTGAGTGTACATGAACGAATGTATATTATCCCCAAGTACGCCGCGGGCAATCGGTTTCCCAAGTTAACGTAGGTTTTAAGTTAATTTAAGAAAAGTTAAATTGACAGATACAAGGAAAAAAGATAGATGAAGAAGAAGAACAAAAAGTGAAAGTTGTAAAACCGTTTTTTGTAATATTCAATCATTTTCGTCAATAAAAAAAAAAAAAAAAAAAGATGCTCTCATCACATTCTATGACGGTAGCGTAAAAGAAAAAGAGGTATCGCAACAAATTAACAAATTCTCCTGTTTTGTGTTATTGACTTCATTGATGTTCAGCCAAAATTGAAGAAGCCCTGCGATCTTCGTTGAGGTCATCGGAATTTCGTAGAAGCTAAGGGAGTATAGTGACGTGGACTTTTAGAGAACTTCGATCATATTCACGAACTTAAGGTATCGGGTATCAATGAAGTCCTCTGTATATATGATTTTTGTTGATCAAGTTGCAGTTGAAAATGAAATTCTAACATTTTATCAATTAATTTATTTATTAACTAACATTATCAACCAGGTCTCTACATATTCGAAGCTCCAAAATGAACTCGAGTTTTGTTTCTTTCAAACAACGTATTTAACGCATAGAATCAACAACGCCTAGCTAGACTATCAGCACGAAATAAAAATGAAAAAGAAGCACGCTTAGAATGAGAGGCTGCCTGTGGATTTTCTCGTCGTTGCTTTGCTCATCCCTTTCAATGCAAGTAGCGTCGAATATCGAGTTGAAATGAAGCCTCATTATGGCTTTCAATTACCTTTACCGACACTGTCAGCTGCTCTAACAATTTGTTTAATATGCGTTATGAAACATTGTCGCTACTTTTTTTTAGATAAACATGTGGATGGAAGATAAATTAAACATATCTTCAAGTGTTTTCACGTGAGAAATGTATTAAATTTATATTTTCATTTTCTGTCATAAACGTCGGTTGATGTGCTTCATGAGAGACAAAACTATCAAAGTCGATCGACAAACAATCGTCTAGTGAATAAACGACTTGTTGACGATTTGATTCAACTGCATGTTGAATAATACTTGCATTATTTTTAATAATAACTTCTGTTCACACAAATCTGGAGAATTTATTCAACCACAACACATTGAACTATTGGTGTTGTATAAGGTATGTCGAGATGCTGTTATTCGACTTATATGAGTTGTAACAGAGCTTATTCGATAACATTTTTGATTACTCAGTGTTGATAAGACATCACTGCTTCCCCTTAATTAAAACAGTGATGCTCTGTATACGCTTGATTCTCATGTAAAGTAACGTTTAATTAAACATTATTATACATTTATTAAACGATTATTCAACTGTGGAAAATTAGCCCGAAAATAAGAGAGACGGGGAGACAGGAATGGGTGTTATTTTTTCTTTAGAAGTGATTGTTTTCATTATTTCTGCCGTGGCACGTACCACACAGATATTAGAAAATGAACTACATACACATCTCATTGCATGGGATTTGAACCATGGACCTTCCCAATCACCAGCCGCTTGCCTTGTCATCTGAGCTATCCTAGAATTCATCATAAGGGCAGCTCAATAATCAATAAAACCTTGCTTGAAAGTGAATACCTATCAGCACTCCCGATCGCAACTCTAGCTCCTTAAAGGCTCTGTGGGAATGATTAATTCATTCATCGTTGTTTTTCATGGGACCAATGTTAATTCCAAGGAAAGGATGATCGGTTATTTTTTAAACTAGATCAATGCATTCATTGTCGTGAGTCATGTGATCGATGATTACTATTTAAATTAATTAGGCGTAGAACACAAATAAAAAGAGGGTTGAACTTAGGATTAAACTCCCGACCCTCCATATGAAAAGCGGAAACGGTAACCACTACTCTACTGATTTCGTCTTGTTGTTAAACTGAACAAGTGTTGTGGAATAATGAATCTAATACGTCGTTTATAAAGCATTTACAAGGCATGCGATTAAAACATGGACGCATAGTGGTTTAAGAGCTATTATGCTGACTGTATCCGCCTTTATTCAGCAATATTGTAAAGCAATGCAGTGAAATCTAATAATGGAGCTAGAGAACATTTAGTAGGCGTCTAATAAAGTATATTATTAAATCAATTGAAAACAGTCGAAGTAAAGCGTCAATGTATGTGCAAATTACACTTACTCAGTTTGTTATTAGATCAAACTTCTGGTTTTGAATCAGGAAGACAGTCAACGTTTATAAAGCTTTTAATAAGTAATTTAATCATATCAGAGCAAAAAGCAAAATAAGGGCGCATCTATCGATCTCAATGGGCTACTCGTTTTATCCAGCATTGTACACTGTACTACAGCATTGATTCAATATATACACGGCGAATGAGAACGACGCAAATTTGAGTTTAGTTCACTCATAATCGCCAAAAGTGCAGGAACTCAGCGATGAGTTAATTTGCCTCATGTTTTCCCAGGTTTTTCCAGGATTTTCCAGGGAAAAATTCCCGAATTTGAGAAAAGTAAAGATTGGATTCACTCAGTCTATTGGTACTACTCCGAGACTGAATAAAATTTTCGTCAATTTCTTCATTTTCCGGCAGATTGTTTAGCTTTTCCACAGGAGACCATGAGACAAATTTTACTCATCGCTGAGTTCCTGCACTTTTGGCGATTATGAGTGAACTAAACTCAAATTTGAGTCGTTCTCATTCGCCGTGTATATGCTTATTTGTGACTCTGAATTGTTTGTTGGGGAGCGCTCTTCGCTCGTCCGCTTCCCGAAGCTTGAAAGAAACACGAATAAAGCGACGGGAGAAAGAAAGACAAACGATTGAAAATTTGTTTGTAGCCGTGCGAAGCTGGTCGACTTCAACAGAAAAAGAAACCTAGCAGTCTCTTCGTCGCATCGATTTCGTTGATTGAAGCTGATATTTTACGCTAACATTATCGATCAAACGATTTTCAAACAGAGATTGGTCATGGTAGGGTCACAGACAAACAGACATAGCACTCGCAAGTTGTTCATCGAACAAGCATTTAACGGTCAATTTAAAAGTATCGTAGTTGGTAGTACCGTCACCTGTGGCGCGCTTAGTCAATTCCCTTGCGTTTGACGTTTACACACTACAGCCATCTGTTCAGCGTACTACCCACCACAGTGTACTCAACAGATGGCGGTAATGTTTTTGCGACGATGTTTTACAGTGAGAAATATTCAATGTGTTATATCTGTTTGTCTGTGGTAGGGGCTTCAAAATTTATTTTGATCATACTGTTAGATAAAAAAAAATCTTATTTAATTTAGCAATTTTTACACTCCTCAGAATTATTTTCAGTGACAAATACTGAGTACGGTGCTGGCTAGGGGAGCTGTATATATATTGTTGTTGTTGTTGTTGCTGCCATAGAGTTTGGGGAGAAGGTACGGGAACATTTTGCCACATCGTCTGCGTCGTCTAGGGTGCAATTCCGAAGCAGCACGTTCAATCTTCTCCTTGGTTTCGCAGTGGTTCCAAGACGAGGTGATTGTTGATTATAGACGACGGATGCTGGCACGGGTGGAGAAATCCTATACCAAACTCAAATAGCTCACACGGATGTGGGTGGTTACATTCCCGTCACGAGGCGATCGTGCGTTCTGATTTTGACTTGAGCAAAAGTTTAAATTCAAATAATACAAGAAATCGTATATTTTTATAGGAGTTTTATATTCGTGTATTCAGTGGGGAAAGGGGGATGGGTAAGGGATCGAGGACATTTGGAACAAACGAGAAAAGTTGTGCCATTAATCTTACATTCGATTTTCCCACACGAGTTTACAAGTTTATGGCGTCTGAGGGAAAATGATTAAATTTATTTTTGGATAGAAGATTCAGAATCAAGTATGGAGTAGGCAGTTAGACGGGAAGTTTCTGCCATAGGTGTGACATATGAAAAATTAAGTTAAATTCAAAAAGGGAATGACAGTTTCGTGGAAGACCGTTTACGTTTCAGAATTATTAGAAATTTATTGAGCAATACTCTCAACTAACCTTAGTGTTTGTCACACAATTATGGAATACAAAAGTGGTGTACAGTCTTATGCAGCTCTCAGTTCAAAACTGAGCTCAAAGAACACTCCCTCCTACTCTGCGAGGCGTGTGACACTCTGTCACTAGTGAGGTGAGAAAAATCACGTCGTGCAAATCAAATGGAGAGTTACACGACTTGCAGAATAGGTCTGACTATGTTAAAGCACAAGAAGTTCAATGTGATTTCAGTATATCCAATAACATCAGCATAGAAACTTTCGAAGAAGTTTGACGGTTGCCTTCAGAATGTAACAGAAAGCAACATCAATCTTCTGATGCAATCGGTTTTTGTTGCCAATCAAGAGAGCCATTCTGACGTAGGACACACATACTCATACCCACAAAACCACTTCAGAATCGGATATCCTACAACAGTTAACTCAATGATTTGGTCATTTTTCTCGTCACTTTACGTATTTCCCGACACAGGAGGAAAGTTTTTTGCTAACATCAAATATTTTTCTTTCGCTTCCTCCGTTTCAGACCTTCCCGAGTTCCTAGTGCTGACGACACGTCGAAAAAAGCTGCGCTTCGACATCAAGCTCTTCACCCAATGTGTGTCCACTTGGGACAACGAGAAGGAGAAGACGTTCTATATCGTCAAGTTTGTGTTCCTTTACTCGTAAGTATGCTTCACAACCCATTTTGCCACATCACATATCAGTCGAATGGAAACTTTTCTTTTTTTGTCTCTTGCTCTCCACTTTGAGTGCATGCTGGAATTTTGCAATAAACCCTCACTCTTCCTCTTTCCCGTCCAACACTCTTGCCTTGAAACTAGAAAACTACTACCCGTTTGTGATTTCCACTTTGGTGATCCAGAAATCCGATTCCCAATCCCGACGGCTGCTATTCTCCATTAAGAATGAAAAGTTTATACTTTTTCCCGGTCCGGTGATTTCCAATAAATGTTCCCTCGTTGAAATTGAACGGTGCTGAGGTGCTCAGTCGTTAAAGGGACGTTATTTCTATAAAATTGTGAATTGAAAGCTCCGTTCTCGTCCGTTCCCTAACGTCAACCTTGTGAAGTAATTCCAAGGAAATTAATCCATTTCGTAACGACAGAATGAAGCCAGTCTCATGTCCACATTATGAATACAAAGTCGTCAATCGTTTCCCTGAGGCAGTCATATAAATCAATCCTTTTTCAGAAGAAATGAAAACAGATGGATATGCTCCTCCAGTAGTGATGGAAAAATTTCTTCACCACGAAACTTGCGAAGAACGTCTACCCTAAAAGGGGTGAACAGGATAGGAGTATCTGGTTCATGGAAGATTCCAGCCACTTGAAACTGTGTAGCTATGGTACTTGCGTGTTCAATGAAATTAGCTTATTATATTATATCTGGTCTCTTAGCTCGTTCGTGGAATCATAAGGGACCGTGCATAGATGACGTAGCATATTTTTGAACAATTTAAGACATCCTCCTCTCCCACGTTACGTATACGTCACTCTACCCGAGCAAAGTCCAGCATCAAAATGACAGCAAATTGAAATCAAGTTTTGATATCAACATCAAACTGAAATCATAATTTAATTTCAGTTTACGCAATTGACAAATTCGATACCTACCTAATTTTGTTTTCATTTTGCTGTAAATTTGCTCTTCAGAAATATGTTGTTGCGTAGCAAAACATCAAATTGAATACTTGTTTTGTTATCAACAGGAAAAATGGATATCAAATTCAGTTTTCAGTTTGCTCTCACTGATAGCAGAAATAGTTTTCAATGTGATGTCACAAGAAGATTTGTTTGCTCTCAATTTTGATATTTTAACCGTTAAAACGACCAAAACGACAGCAACTTGAGTAATCATTATCAGCGAAATAACAACATCAAATTTAGATTTCAATTTGATCTCAGACTTTGCTCGGGTAGGTGATTAAAATTTGGCCTCTCGCGGCCTTGATGATTCAAAATTTTACACAGTAAGGTATGGGAGAAATTTTTTTAAAGCGTATGCTTTCTGAATGCAGTACCGTAAAATGGGGTAACTTTGATAGATTTTTAAAGTGTATTCTAAACATTGTTTTCAACAATTAAAGTTTTTCAAACGTTTTATTTTTTGATATGTACTGAGGATCCTGAGAGTCAATTCTTTATAAATTATAAATTATAAATTTACACTCTATTTTTATTCTTGTGGTAAGCGATGGAAAACTCCAAAAAATCCAAAATCAGGAACGGCCGAAAATCACTGCTGATCTTGAGATCAGAAAATCATGGCTGATTTTGTCTTCGCTGATCTTGAGAGTAGCAAAATCACAAAGCAGAAAATCAAGGCTAATTTAAGCTTTGCTGATTTTGAGGTATCAAAATCGCCAAACGGAAAATCAATACCTTGCTATTACAGTTAAAGTAACAAAACGACATCCGCCGCCATTTTTTAATCCAAGATGGTGGATCAAAGTCCAATGTGGCGGCCTACGGACAGCGATTATGAATCCAAGCCCGCAATTTTGGAATTCAAGATGACAGACCAAAATCCAATAGCGAATATGCATCCAATCTCATGCAATATGTATATTAGACTGATGCAAATTTTGACATTTTCGCTCCACAGTGCTCAAACGGTTCCAAATCGGGTCCTGATTAGTCTCCCAAAATTTGAACTCATTCGATAAGAAACTGACTAGGCACAAACCATTTGAAGTTTATATGGAAATTACTATAGGAAATATATATATATGCATCTAACAATTTACCATATTGCTCTGCTTTAAAAAATGATAACTGAGCTCGAAGAAAATTTTCTCAGCTACAACTTTGTCCTTAACCACTTTTCAATATAATGTAAGCATCAAAAGTTATCAATAATTCAAGCCACTAATGTCTTACGATTATGCTCAATCAACTGTTCAGCAGGCAACATTGGTGTTTCTGGCGCTTAGAATAGAGCACAAAAATCATGGCTACTATGTCATACTGCAAGATACAGTGTTGCTCACAAAACAGCTGCTTGATCATGCCATAAGATTATCAATCTCTTAAACAATTAATAACAATTTAATTTGACATTTGGCTGAAAAACGTTATTCGGCAAAGTTGTAGCATAGAAAATTTTCCGTAAGAATAGTTATAGAAATTTTCGAAAAAGCAACATGGAAAATGGGTAGAAGACAATAAACAAAAAGTTTGGATTTCCCATAGTAATTTCCATATAAACTTTAAATGGTTTGTGTCAAGTCAGTTTCTTTTCAAATGAGTTCAAATTTTGGGAGACTAATCAGGACCCGATTTGGAACCGTTTGAGCACTGTGGAGCGAAAATGTCAAAATTTGCATCAGTCTAATGTATATCTACCGAATAGGCTGCTAAATCTATGAAAAAAGGAAGAAATTTTGTTTTCTAGTGGGTAAAATCTTATTTGGTGTGCAGTCAATTTTTTTCTAAATAATCCATTCAAATATCTTCCTTATCCAGGAGAAATATCGAAAATCGGTTCAATTGTACTAAAATAATGAATGTTAAAATTTCATAATACCAGATCTAGACGTTTCATGCATTTTCAAGACATTTGGCATCAACAATTTCAGGGTGTCTACTCAATCCAAGGAATCAAATTCCCTGAGTTTTCCAGGTTTTTCCAGCTCGGATGAAAAAAATTCCAGGTGCATACAAATTAATCACATATTTATTTTATCTATTTATCCATCTGGAATCCCTTTTATGTACTTATTGATTTATGTTATTTTCGATTGTTCAAACTTGGGCGTTGGTACTTATAAGTCGGCACAGCAAAAAAGTTATTGAATATTACAGCAGAACAGATGCACAACCCAAGTAACAAGTCTGGTTTTATAAGGGTTCTGTATACCATTATTTAGACTTGTAGAATGCTATAAAACCTCAATAAAACTTGCAATGTTGCTTGGGATAGGTTGTTTAATATTAATTTGTTCAATTTACGTTTAGTAAATGCACCAATAGTGGAGGTACGTTAGTACAATGTACTTCTATAGCGGCTTAGGGAGACTCTATAAGCCACCATAGGAACACATTGCACTAAAGTACCTCCACTATTTGTGCATTTATTCTACACATAATTTGAGAAAAGAAATTATATCCATGGGTGTAATATTGTATTTGGTTTTTGCAATCACATTAGCTATTCATACAGTAGCATGCATTACGTCAATCAATAGTACATTCTTTTTTGGTATTTGTGTAGTATTTTTTTAATTCAAGAATACACATAAAAGTAAGAAACCTGTCTATACTATTTCGATAAAACGATATATCAAAATTTGATGACAATACGCTTTCAAAAACAAAATATCATTTTGATAATATGTTTGAGTCCAACTCTGTTTGGAAGATCTAGACAGAATAAATAATGGTTTCAATCTCTTAAGATCCGTTAAGACTATCTGATTTTTTGGCCTGATTTTGACCGCCGCCATAATGAAAAATCTGCTCGAATTTACTTTCGACACACTTTGTCGAACCCCCCTGTTTGCTGGTGTTCACACTGCTTGCACATGTCGAAAGAACTGTCAATTTAGATTTCAAAGCAAAACTGTATCAGGAATCAAAAGTAAATACTTCCATCATGAATTACCGGAAAATTGCTGGTAGACGTATTTGCTTTTATTATTTTAAATAAAATGAGAAGGAGAAGGTGAACTTTGTGGAGCAGGAAATGGTTGGTCAAGAGGAACACCGGCAGGGATCTGGCTCATCTTGTCCTTCAAGAGCTGCGATATGAAGATGAAAATGGATTTCAAAACTTCGCCAGGATGTCGATACCAACTTTCGACAAGCTAGTGGGAAAAGTTCTCACTAGATCTACATGATTCCTTGAGTTCTGAAAATTTCTGTTAACAACTTAATTCTGCAAGGTCTTCAAACCGTCTGACGTCCCTGAAGTTTTGTTTCTGTTCTCCGGTAAAATTTCTTTAAAGATCAACAATCTTTACTGACGATCTGCAAATTTCTCGGTAGTTCTACAGATTTCTTTGAAGTTCTATGTATACTTCAGAAGTTCTGCAAATTTTCCTAAAAATCTACAAAGTTCCTGAATCCCTGAAGATTTAAGATCCTTGAAGATCAATTATCTCTGATGTTCACAAAATTTCTAATACCCTACAAACTTCTCGAAAGCTCTGTAATTTTCTCTGCAGATTTTCATGATTCAATGAATATCTGCAAATATTTCTGAACATCTATACAATTTTCTAAAGAATTAAAAGATTACCTAGAAATTTTTGAGCTTTCCGGACGTTATAGGAAGTATTCTGAAGTTTTCTAATTTTTCTGAAGCTGTGCAAATATCTGTAAAGATCAGCGAACATACCTGAAGTTCTGTAAATGTCTCTCAAAATCCAAGAACCGCAGTAAAATTCTGAAAATTATTTAAACATCTGCTAATTTTTGAGTAGATCTACAATCTACCCTCTGAACTTTTCTGAAGTTCCTAAAATTTATTTCAAATTCTGTAAAGTTTTCTGAAGTACTGTATTTCTGCTCTAAAGATCTACGAACTGCCCTGAAGTTCAATAAATTTCACAGCAGACTTCCTAACTTTTCTAAAGTTCTTTAAATTTCTTTGTGGATTCTTGATCTAAAGATCGGCGAACTTTCCCAAAGATCTGCGAGTTTTGCTGAAATTTTGCAAATTT